CAAAATCCTTGGAGGCTGTAAGAAAGAACCTTTTCTTCGATTCCCGCTTGATAACATCTCGGTATCAGTGTCGATTCTATATTTTCCAGGTCTAGGATAAGATGCTCCCACTTCTTCTTTAGTTCGCTTGATAATTCTTCGTCCCATTCAACTTTAGATTGGCATAGCTCCTGAAAAAACATCTTTAATTTGACTGTTATGGGTGCGAGAACTCCCAACGGGTCATAGAAACGGGATATGATACCAATGACATTTCGCTTCGTAGGCTCAAGTTCTCGAGCTGCTTGCACAATTCGCTGAAAATTGAAGATGAATGTGTCATTTACATAGTTCCACCGAATTCCCAGGATCTTCTCTTCCCTTTCCAACGGTAATTCTTGGGCATTACCCACTGTTGACTTGCAATATGACTTATCCTCTTTACAGACATCGTTGACCACATCTGTCGTTGACTGACCGATGGTAGGTGTTTCTTCATTTTGCTGTATTCTTTGCATTAGGGTAGGAGAATTAGATAGAAACTTGCGAAGATTGAATCCGCCTTCACTTAGTCGTTGTTTTGATTTAATATACAGTTCATAGGCTGCGTTGTCATCCTTGGCTCCAGAACTTAAATCATCCACGTAAATGCCACTCAGAAACTTTTGTAGAAACTCCGGGTCTTCTTCCTGGTATTTCTCAATGTGATGTTTGATTGTCACATTCAACAAAAATGGACTGGCCGTCACCCCGAATACTACACGCGTAAATCGATATATCATAATCTTAGGGTCATCCTTAGTAATATCGTCAACCCAGAGAAATCTCAAGACGTCTCGATCTTCCTTTGCAATGGCAATCATCAAAAACGCATTTTCAATGTCTCCGACCAATGCTGTTGGATGACACCTGAATCTCAGCAAAATGTCTACAATATTCTCAGCAAGTGATGGGCCGGAGTATAGGCAATCATTAAGAGAGGGGCCCTCGGATTTCGCAGAGGCATCGTAGACTATCCGCAATTTTGTTGTTTTCTTGTCGCGACGGATGATGGCATGGTGTGGTAAGTAATGGACACGACTTGCATTGGTGGTGGATGTTTCATCAACTCTTTCTATGATTCCTCTAGCTATCTGCTCCTGAATAATGTTGTTGTATTCCTTCAGGGTTTTAGGATCTTGTCGAAGTCTCCTTAGGAGGGATTCTAGTCTCCTTAGACTAAGCTGGTAGTTATCTGGTATGGTGACTTGGTTATCTTTCCATGGTAGGTGAACTTCATATCGACCATCTCGGTGTTTCACAGTACTTAGAAACTCTTCGTAAACAGAATGCTTGTCAGGACTGATACCAAGTGATTCCAATTCCCAAAAACGTTTGAGGTTAGTTTCAATTGTTGCTTCTGGGGAAGGGGTGAGTTGGGTAGAACATCGTAACACATTGGTAGATGCAATGTTGACATTGGAATGAGAATCGGGTGGTGCCCCTTTCACTGGACCAGACAAAACCCAGCCGAGCTTGGTATGCATTGCTGTAGGACCATCGTTTCCATGGATTACATGACCGGTGACCAACTGCCAATAATAATCGCTTCCAATCAGTATATCCAAATCGAATTCTTCTCCATCGTTTGCTGAGTCAGCAAGAGTTAGACCAGAAAGATGTTCATAGGATTGTTGGGCAAATCTTGTATTTTGGTTTTCGATTGTGGAGCATATCAATGGAACAACATAAGCCGATAGGTTTAACTTATGTCCTCTCTCGGTGTCCAACTGAAATTGAACCATATTACAGGAGGTAATATCTTCATCCTTAGAACCAAAGGCATTAATCTTGAGGGTATCTCGTCTTACTATAGGGAGATTCAGCTTGTCTCTTATTGTGGAAGTTATGTATGATCTTTGGCTTCCACTGTCAAATATAAGTCTTGCCTGCAACGTCTTACTAGGATCCTTTGGGTTGTAAATGAAGTCTCTTGCGGTTTGTAAAAGAATCGAGGACTGTGCATCGACAAACATATTGACATGGGTGTTCTGAGGTTGTTCTCTAGTTTGGTTTGTGGGTTGGTGACCTTGGGGTTGCATGCGTGGGTGTTCTTCAGAGGGGGTTGGTTGGTGGGATGCTTCTTGTTCTGGTGGGTTAGGTTTCACTTTAGAATTGGATGGACAGATACTAATGTGATGACGCTTATCACATTTAAAACATTTTATCTTAGATTTGCACTCTCTGGCAACATGATTCTTTCTAAGGCATATATAACATCTTCCAGACCGTTTCAGAATTTCCTTTCTCTCATTTCTGTCAGTCACGGTACTACAGCTATTTGAAGGGTGGGGTTGTTGACAGTAGGTGCATGTTGGACTTCCTCCAGTAGTAAACAAAGATGATGCAGATGGGATCTTAGGTTTATACGGTGGCTTAGATGGGGGATCCCTTGAACTGCCGGGTAAGAGACTTGCCCTCTCTCGAGCCTCCAGTTCCCCTTTAAAGATTTTGATCAGTTCATCTAGATCCCAATATTCTTTGAGCTGCTTTGTAGCTTCTAAACGCAGCTCTTTAGGCAACTTATCAATCAAAATAGGTGTTAACAGACTACCATATGAACCAGAGTCAACTTCAAGTGATTTCAATCCCCTCATATGGCTCTCTACTTTATCATGTAATTGCCTGAGAGCCTTTAAGTCGTCTACATTAGTCACCTTGGGCAGGTTTAATAAAGCATTCATGTGGGCATTGACAATTTGTTGCCGATTACCAAATCTTTTGTCTAAGATATCTATTGCCTCTTGGTAGTTTGCTGAAGTTATTTTTAAACCCGATATTGCTTCAGCAGCAGATTTTTCCAACAGACTATGCAAATAATTGAATTTATCTATACCGGATAAATTAGGATTTTCATGAATGGAAGAAGAATATGAATCCCAAAATGGAGTCCACTCCATTATGTTCCCATTAAAATGTTTTAGTTCTAATTTTGGTAATCTTACCCTACTGTTAGATGTGTGTGGTACTGTTGCTTGCGACAGAGAACTTTCCAGATTCGATGGTGAAGATCCACTGTCTTTATTCCATTTTTTCTTCAGTTTTTCCAAAATTAAATCAATGTGAACAATTGCCCTTTGAATAGCTTGACGTATGTCATCAGCACTGGCAACCTCATCCTCAATATTTCCGTCCTCAACCAAAAGAATAATCTTGTCGTCAAAACTCTTTAGAAGTGGTAATTTCTCGCCCAAAATCACACGTTGTTGGGTAAGTTTTATTTCAAAGTCACTTGCCTGTGTTTCTTCAAATATTTCCGTAGATTGCGTTAAGAGTTCCTCTGTTACAGCTAATGTTTTCGTAAGACTGGCTCGATCTCCTCCGCGTATTTTTACTAATTTCTTCAATTCCTCAGCCATTATTCGTTGTATATCCGGCTCGAAGGACCGTGTAAGAGAATTTAGGTTCAAAAGGCTCCAAATCGTTTATAATACTTATTTTATTAACATATATACAACAAATTCATGAGGAATATTTACGAAAACTATCATAATGGCGGCTGTTCAATTCATAACAACGTGTTTCTCGCAACGCGTGGAATCTCGCGTGTTCTCGCGCGCGCTACACTTAGATTACGGTGAAAACATACAAAAATACGTCACTCCTTGTCCTCACCGCCAGGAAAATTGTCCTCAGCGCCAGGAACATTGTCTTCAGCCTCAGGAACCTTGTCCTCAGCGTCAGGAACATTGTTCTCAGCGTTAGGAACCTTGTCCTCAGCGTTAGGAACCTTGTCCTCAGCGTTAGGAACCTTGTCCTCAGCGTCAGCAACCTTGTCCTTACCGTCAGGAACCATGTCCTCAGCGTCAAGAACCTTGTCCTCAGCCTCAGGAACCATGTCCTCAGGGTCAGGAACCTTGTCCTCAGCGTTAGGAACCTTGTCCTCAGCCTCAGGGACCTTGTCCTCAGCGTCAGGAATCTTGTCCTCAGCGTCAGGAACCTTATCCTCACCGTCAGATACCTTGTCCTCACCGTCAGGAACCTTGTCCTCACTGTCAGGAACCTTTTTGTCAGCGTCAGGAACCTCGTCCTCAGCGTCAGGAACCTTGTCGTCAGCGTAAGGAACCTTGTCCTTAGCGTCGGGAACCTTGCCTCACTTTCTGGAGCCATGTCCTCAGCGTCAGAAACCTTGTCCTCGGCGTCAAGAACATTGTCCTCAGCATCAGGAACCTTGTCCTCACAGTCCGGAACCTTGTCCTCACCGTCAGGAACCTTGTCCTCACAGTCAGGAACCTTGTCCTCAGCGTCAGGAACCTTGTCCTCACCGTCCGGAACCTTGTCCTCACAGTCAGGAACCTTGTCCTCACCGTCAGGAATCTTGTCCTCAGCGTCAGGAACCTTATCCTCACGGTCAGATACCTTGTCCTCACCGTCAGGAACCTTGTCCTCACTGTCAGGAACCTTTTTGTCAGCGTCAGGCACCTTGTCCTCAGCGTCAGGAACCTTGTCGTCAGCGTAAGGAACCTTGTCCTTAGCGTCGGGAACCTTGTCTTCACCTTCTGGAACCATGTCCTCAGCGTCAGAAACCTTGTCCTCAGCGTCAAGAACATTGTCCTCAGCATCAGGAACCTTGTCCTCACCGTCCGGAACCTTGTCCTCACCGTCAGGAACCTTGTCCTCACCGTCAGGTACCTTGTCCTCACCGTCAGGAACCTTGTCCTCACTGTCAGGAACCTTGTCGTCAGCGTCAGGAACCTTGTCCTCAGCGTCAGGAACCTTGTCGTCAGCGTCAGCGTCAGGAACCTTGTCCTCAAAGTCAGGAAGCTTGTCCTCACAGTCAGGAACCATGTCCTCACAGTCAGGAACCTTGTCCTCAGCGTCAGGAACCTTGTCGTCAGCGTCAGCAACCTTGTCTCCACCGTCAGGAACCTTGTCCTCACCGTCAGGAACCTTGTCCTCACAGTTAGGAACCTAGTCCTCAGCGCCAGGAACCTTGTCCTCAGCGTCAGGAACCTTGTCCTCAGCGTCAGCAACCTTCTCCTTAGCGTCAGGAACCTTGTCCTCACCGTCTGGAACCTTGCCCTCAGCGTCAGAAACCTTGTCCTCACCGTCAGGAACCTTGTCCTCACCGTCAGGAACCTTGTCGTGACCGTCAGGAACCTTGTCCTCACAGTCAGGAACCTTGTCCTCACAGTCAGTAACCTTGTCCTCACTGTCAGGAACCTTGTCCTCAGCGTCAGGAACCTTGTCCTCAGCGACAGGAACATTGTCCTTAGCGTCGGGAACCTTGTCCTCACCTTCTGGAACCATGTCCTCAGCGTCACAAACCTTGTCCTCAGCGTCAAGAACCTTGTCCTAAGCATCAGGAACCTTGTCCTCACTATCAGGAACCTTGTTTTCAGCGTCAGGAACCTTGTCCTCACTGTCAGGAACCTTGTCGTCACCGTCAGGAACCTTGTCCTCTCCGACAGCAACCTAGTCCTCACCGTCAGGAACCTTTTCCTTACCGTCAGGAACCTTGTCCTCACTGTCAGGAACCTTGTCCTTACTGTCAGGAACCTTGTCCTCACTGTCAGGAACCATGTCCTCAACTTTAGGAACCTTGTACTCAGCGTTAGGAACCTTCTCTTCAGCGTTAGAAACCTCCTCAGCGTCAGGAACATTGTCCTCACCGTCAGGAACCTTGTCTTCACCGTCAGGAACCTAGTCCTCACAGTCAGGAACCTTGTCCTCAGCGTCAGGAACCTTGTCCTCACCGTCAGGAACCTTGTCCTCACCGTCAGGAACCTTGTCCTCACCGTCAGGAACCTTGTCCTCACCGTCAGGAACCTTGTCCTCACCGTCAGGAACCTTGTCGTCAGCGTCAGGAACCTTGTCCTCACAGTCAGGAACCTTGTCCTCAGCGCCAGGAACCTTGTCCTCAGGGTCAGGAACCTTGTCCTCAGCCTCAGGAACCATGTCCTCAGCGTCAGGAACCTTGTCCTCAGCGTTACGAACCTTCTCCTCAGCGTCAGGAACATTGTCCTCACCGTCAGGAACCTTGTCCTCAGCGTCAGGAACCTTGTCCTCAGCGTCAGGAACCTTGTCGTCAGTGTCAGGAACCTTTTCCTCACCGTCAAGAACCTTGTCCTCACCGTCAGGAACCTTGTCCATACCATCAGGAACCT